CCCCCCCCTTGCCTCTCAGCACTGGGGGGATCTCCCCACTGACTCCCCCCCGCTAAGGTGCGGTGCTGATGCACAATGGCCCGTAAAGTGAAGCTCCCTCCTAAGTCAGGATCGGGGCCTTGGTGTCACCATGAGTGCCCGTCTGCTGCAGCAGGGCTGTGAAACGTGACCTGTGGGAGCTGTGTCCTAGGCTGGGGGGTGGCGGAGGGGGCATGAGTTGTTAGCTGCCATCCAGGGCAGAAAGGGGGTTCCAGCAAGATCGGTAGTGAGGGGCTGCGACCCCCAAGACCCCACTTCCCCGGGGGCTCAGGGGGGCTGTGTGCAAGGTCAGCGAGAGGCTAAGGCCTGGAGTTTTCCTCAAATATTGGCTGCTTCCTAGAGGTGCTGGCATGTGCCAGTGGGAGCCAGGGGGCTTAGCACATCTGGTAGGTACCAGCAGCTGTGGGTGCTCCAGGCGGAAGCGAAGGGAGGATGGCCAAGCTGCGCCGGATGCGCCATGGAACGGGAGGGACTGGGAGGACTGGGGGAACGTTATTGATAGGAGAGAAGCTGGCTCTGAGTGGGGAGCAGGCTCTATGGGACCTGGAGGGACCTTGAGGACATGGATTGGTTGGTTGGTTGGTTGGGAAGTACCTATGTTGAGACCCCCGTATCCCCAGTCAGCGGATGCAGGCTCACGCGCTGTGGCACTGGGTGCAGTCTGTCCGACCTAGACGTTCCCAGGCAGGTTTATGCAGGGTACTGTAGCTCCTCAGCAAAGGGCCTGTGATATGTCCCTGGAGCTCATGGAGCTCCCAGTCCTGGATGCACCTTCACAACCCCACTGTGCTAGGGCAGGGCTGGCATCCCCAGGAGGCGGGAGTCACTGCTTCGACCCCCATTTGCCTTTCAGAGCCAGGACTGGAGCAAGAATGATGAAAAGCTCCTGCAGGCCGTGGACTATAATGATGCTGAGCGCGTCACCACCCTGCTCGTGCGGAAGGGCCTCATCCCCACCAAGCTGGACTCGGAGGGCAAATCCGCGTGAGTGGTGCCTGGGTCGGGAGTGATGGTCTGGTCCCGCACTCTGGCAGCAGGGCAGAAGGCGCGGAGGAGGCTCACCAGCCCTCTGGGCTCGCTGTGTCCCGAGCCAGGGCATTGTGCAGGCTGGGCTCGGGTGCGTGCTAGAGCAGCCCCGAGGTTGCCCTAATGTACGCTCTGCCCTGCTGGCCCTACATGAGGTGGTCGGTAGGTGTTTCTAGCCCGGGGACAGCTAACAACTCATCACAGACTCTTTCAGGCCCCTCCCTTGGGCACGATATAAGAATGCAATCAGAAATCCTGACATAATAATGCAATTCTGATCTACTAATGTAATCTTGATATAATTATACAATCAGAAACCGGGGAGCACAACTAGAGCTCATCCCCTGCCCAGCGCAGACATCTGGCCTTTTATGCCTGCCCCAGAGGCAGTCGCCGCTGTCATTCCCAGCTCTCAGCCTTCAGAGGAAGCCCAGTCCCTGCACCCTCCACAGCTGGGCCTGGCTCTCTCTGCAAAGGACAGGCCAACCTGCTTGTAAGGATGTTACCACCTCTATTTGCAAGGGGCCTTGTGGAAATAAGCCCGCGTGATCAGAAGTTTTTAAATAACCCTACAAAAACAAGTCAGGGCATTTGTCAGGGGAATGGGTTTTGTTTCCAAGTGCAGGGGCTTCCTAAGGGTTTCGGGCAACCTGGAGACTCCTTGGATCTGGCTCACGGGGGATGAGGGGGTGTTTCTGGAAGGTGACGGTGTCTCCCTGGCTTTGGCGCAGGTTCCACCTGGCCGCCACGAGAGGGAACGTGGATTGCCTGGAGGTGATGCTGGCTCATGGGGTGGATGCCATGACCAAAGACAGCTCTGGTAAGGCCCACTCCCTCTCCTGCAGGGCAGGCTTGCATACGGCTGCTCGGGGCTGGCTGAGGCCATGCAGAAGGGACCCAGGCCAGCTGCATGAGGGCTTTGCACCTCTGCTGCTCGCATTTACCCCATGGAGGATCCAGCCCTTTGCCGGGGGGCTGCCAAAGCTCCTTGCACTTCAAGCTTCCCTGCCCTGCTGCTGCCCCTCCGCTCCTCTCCCCCTGACATAGATCTCTCCGCACTCCTGTGATCTCAGCCCAGAGCCTGGGGACCGCTCAGATCTCAGCAAGGGGCTGGGGAGCAGGAGAAAACTCACATCAGGGCAATGTGTGTCGACAGGCACAGCCCGAGTCATTGCAGCGACAGTGTCCCAGGACAAAGAACCGCCATGTGCCTGCTAAGGACATGGCCTGGTTAGGGGCAGGACATGGCCTAGAGCACCTTTAATGCACTGACTGTGCCCAGTACTCTTGCATTCCTTTGTACCCATGGCCGAAGACCTCCTGATTCCTGTGGGCAGTACAGTGGCTGTCTCTTTAGACTCAGCCTGAACATGGAGCCTGTCTTTTGTCCTGCAGAAACTTTCCCCGTCCTTCACACTGAGAGTTACTTCCTAAGTAGGGTCTGGGCAGTTGGCTGTGAGGATGGGAGACCTCCAAGGGCCTTCAGGGGTGCTGGGAGGATTGAGTAGCTTCCCTGTCTGCTGCTGATGATAAAAGATCTGATTCCCCTCAGACGAGGAGCATGAACCCAGGTGTCCTGGTGACAGCTCAGTTTGGCCGACCGCACTCTGTCCCGTGCGTCAGATCCAGGGCCCTACATTTCCAGGGCTGGGAGGCTGGGCTGTGTAGTGCTGACTCTGTGCGTTGAGCACACCGGGTGTCAGGATTTTCTATGGGTCGCTGACCTGCCCGCCCGTCTCTTTCCAGGGTACAATGCGCTGCATTTGTCAGCCAAGCACGGCCACCCACAGTGTGTGAGCAAGCTGCTGCAGGTGAGGGTGCTGGGCAGGAGGCTGGGGAAATGCCGAAGACTGGAGAAGGCAGGCGGGAGCACAGAGGACAGCTGTGGGGAACCTTGACCCATGCAGCCCCTGTGGGACTCCCTCTGGATGGGCAGGGAAGTGGGCCAGGCAGGGCTGGAGCTTGCTGCCCATGGGGCAGCTACAGTGGGGCAGGCTGGGTTGACCAAGGGAAAGGTCTTGTGAAGAAGGACCTGGGAGCTGCTGCCTTCTGCTGTGGACGTGCCACTGCGGGGCCCCTGGGACTGGCGTGCAGCTGCCGGGCTCTTCCCGCTCGCTCGGCTGCATTCCCAGCCCCCGTCATACACCGCAGCCAGAAATGCTGGGGTGGGGGAGGAATGCAGCTGCACTGCTGAGGTTACAGTCCTCAACTGAAATGTTAAAGGATTAAAAAAAAATCTGCTCTTTCCCCTGGGGAAACCTGCCTTCCCTGAGCCCGTCTGTCGGGAACTCTCTGAGCATTTGGCTTCATGTAGCCAACAACACCCCCGCCCCCAGCCTTTCTCCCTGTGGGACCCCAACTCCAGGGCATCCCCAGGCTGGGAGGGGTTCCTGTCACTCCCCCCCACCACTGGCGGGAAGACAGCCCCGCTCCAGCCATTGCTAATTGCCATCTTCTCTCCCTCAGGCGTTCTGCCCGGTGGACGTGACTGACAGCTGCGGGCGGACGGCGCTCCATCATGCAGGTCAGCATGGAGGGAGCCTGGACCTGCTGCCTCGTGGCATCTCCTCCCACCCCCTCATGTCCCATTTTAAAAGCTAGTGTTGCCTAAGGCTGGAAAGCTGCCTGCTGTTCACCAGAGAGGAAGGCAGGAGCTGGGCAGAGGGTGTTGGGGGCCGGGAAGGGTCCTGGGTGCTGTGGGAACTGAGCTGGGCATGCGGGTCTTGGCTGAACGACACTTCCTCCCCAGTGAGACGCCCGGAGCCTCGCCATCCAGGCCCTGGCACAGGCCATGGGTAGGCTTATGCATTGGTGCATAGCCAGCAGACCTCTTAGGCTCCTTCTTATCCTTTCTAGCTGTCAGTGGCTGCATCTCCTGCTCTGAGATTCTCTGCGATTTCAAGGCCTCTTTGAACATCAGGGACAAGGTGAGGCAGCTCTTCCCAGAGCAGTACATGGTGTGTTAGCCTTGCTCCCAGGGCTGGATTGCTGCATAGAGCTGGCTTTAGTTTTACCTAAGCCCATTTGAATCTCACGGGTGAAACACACCGGGGGTGGCAGAGAATCAGGCTCGCATCACCTGCCATCAAAATGCAGCTGCTTCTGGGGTGGAACACGGCAGCTAATAACAGCAGCAGGTACCTTGGTTATATCCTCCCAGTCTCTGAGGTGGACTGGCCCATGCCCAGTGATACAGGAAATGAAGTGAAGTGAAGAGGGCTCCTGGGCCTGAGTGGATCAGATTGGGCAAGGCGGCTGGCCTAGCAGCCATCATCAGCAGTTGGGGTGCTTGATGAACATGAGTCACTTGGGATTCACATCACACATTCTTTGGTTTGTTTTTTGGCACGTGGCATTGGCCTTGCAAATACCTGTGCCACCCAGCCCTAGCGAGAGGCCTGGGCCATGCTGGGAAGCAGGTAGCACACAGCTCATTCAGACTGGAGTCCAGCTGAGCCCTGCTGAGGACATACCTCCCTCTCCCTGCTCTAGGATGGCTCGACCCCCCTGCTCCTTGCAGCCAAGATGAGCCACTCAGAGCTGTGCCGGTACCTGCTGCACCGTGGAGCCTCGGTGAACAGCAGAGACCAGCAGGGCAGGTGAGAGCCATCCCACGGAAGGACACTGGGAGGGGCAGACGGGAAAGGATTAAATCTTAGGGGATGGGATGAGGATGCTTTTGGCGAGAGAGAGATGACTCCTGGACACTGACTGGGCAGTGGGACAGTGGGGAGTGGATCCAGCTGTGAGCATCTGGGTTGGGGGCTGGAAATCTGGGTTGTGCACGAAGCAGAGGGAAGCATCTTAAGGCCGTGTCCCTTTGCTGTGCAAAGTGCTGCCTGAGAGGGGGAACGATGTGGCCTGTGCATGCCTCTGGGGGGGCAGTGATTGTGCTTGCAGGCTCCCTGTGTCAGCTCACTGGAGACTGCGGGACACTTGCTCTGGGCCATGCTTGAGAATGGAGCTGCCTTGGAGCTGCTACCAAAGCAGGACAGTCATGTCCCCAGGGCAGGGGGGTTGGAGCAGGAGATGGGGCAGGGGGGGTCTCTGCAGCAGAGACAGGGCTCAGAGCAGGGCTGCCACAACAAAGAGCAGATGGCTGGAGGGTGACCAGACCCGTCGCTCACCCAGGACTGCGCTGATGCTGGCCTGTGAGCATGGCAGCGTGGAGACGGTGGAGGTGCTCATCCACGCTGGGGCGCGGGTCACCACGGTGGATGCCATGGGCCACGACGCAATTCACTACAGCACAGCCACAGGCAATGCTCTGATCCAGCACTACCTACAGGACGCCGCTCAGCGCCGGTCCTGGGCCAGTGGTAAGGTGCTTGCTGGGCAGTGGCCTCGGTCTTCCCATGCCACCGGGTCCCCTGCCCCCACCTGGTGCCCCCCCTGCACTAGGGTAGAGGTGGGCGAGAGGTAGGGTAGGGGCTCCCCAGTGTCATCACTGTCCCTCTGGGTTAAGCCATGTGGGTGGGGGCCTGGAGGTTTCTCTAGGGGGTCTTTGCCTCACTTCTCTCTTGGAGTGGGGTGGTGACCCCTTCCCAGTGCTGGCACCTGCCCCCCCACAGCTGCAGGCAGGAGCTTGTTTCTGGCTTGCATCTGCCATGTGGCTGCTGTGTGCATGGGTGTGCATGTGTGTGTGCAAGCATCCCTTGCGGGCCTGGTCCAGTGGCTCCTCTAAGGCCTGATGGTCTCTTTCCTCCCCCATTTCCTCCCACAGAAGAGTCTTCGATGGATCAGGTCTCCCAGGTAAAGGGCCTGGCCCTGTCCTGCAGGGAGCATTGTGGGTCTTGAGGCTAGAACTGATACAGCCCCATAGCTCTAGGGCTGAAGCACACCAGGCAGCCCTGCCACCACCCTGCCCCAGGGCAGAGGGTGTGGGGGCTTCCCTGGGCTGCAGCTGTCCTGGGGCAGGACTGAGACTCCTCTGCCACCCTGGATGGGAGAAGGGGTGTTACAGAGGGGCTGGGGCTGCTCACCTGAGAGCCTGCTCTAGCCCCTGCCCCTGGGCAGAGCCATGCCGCGCTGGGACCCCACCATGGACCTCTCCCCTTGGTGTCTCGGCAGACGTCTTCGACCAGCCAGCCTCTGTCCAAAGACAAGAACAGCACCCCGCGGAAGAGGAAGGCCCCCCCACCTCCCCAGTCTGCCCTCAACCAGGTGAGGCTGCCAGGCTCTGCCCACTCTGAGCTCACCTGGCACCCCCTGGGGAATGGGCCTGATACCCAAGAGCGTGATGCCAGCTGGGCAAGGACCTCTTGCCCACATGCGGGGTGTGTGGGTCTGATTCTCTGGCTCTGACTGAGGTTCCAGTTGCAACCTGGATGTCAGCTGGGCATGGGGCCAGTCACAGCTAATTGCTCTGTTAAGCCTGGGGAGGGCTAGGTACCCCCTGTGCCGCCCTCACAGCCCTGCTTCTGGCCCCCCCAGGAGGACAGGGAGGCCTACGAGGAGATTGTGCGGCTGCGGCAGGAGCGGGCCCAGTTCCTGCAGAAGATCCGGAGCCTGGAGCAGCAGCAGGAGAAGCAGAAGCAGAAGCGGGAGGTACCAGTACGGTGCTGGTCCTGGTGCTCACAGCTGGGATGAGGCTGGTGGGGAGGGAGCTTCCCCTGGCATTGAGCTGTGGCAGGAGGGGCAGGAGCTGGCTGGGGGATGGGCACAGGAAGGGGCATCACTAGGCTGGGAATATCACTGCCCAGCCCGCAGGCTGATATGGCGCTACCCCACGTGAGCAGCTAGTGAAGTGCGGTGACTGTCTCACCCCTCTCTGTGTTCCCCCAGAGGCAGGAAATGGAGGATGGCTCCCTGCGCTCCATGGAGAAACAGGTAAGTGCCACCGCAGAGCCAGGCACCTTATCCCCATCGCTGGGACACAGCGAGCTCGAGGGTGAGGACAGCAGGCAAGGACTGGGAAGGGGAACCCACATGCCTCAGGCATGGCCAAGGCCAGGAGGAATAGCCCAGTCCAGGGTACAGGGGGGTCACCCATTTCTCCAGCACGAGTTGCCTCCATAGATAGGACTAGGGGGGCCACAGGTCTGCTCTGGTTGGGCCCTGGGGTCTGATCTGTCCCCCCTGTCCCAGTTCAGATGGGCTAGAGAAGGGGCAGCCCAACCTGAAGATGCATCCCCTCATTTGACCCAGGTAAAGGACCTGCAGAAACAGCTGGCCGAGAGCGAGGGTGAGAAGGCACATCTGGGGAAGGAGGTGGAGGCACTGCGGAGCCGCCTGTCATCGCTGGAGGTACGAGACAGGGCCCATGGAGCCGCACAGGGAGCTGGGGACGCAGGAGGGCTGGGACATGTCAGTTTGTTGCCGTCCACCTGCCAGTGCCAGCCCCATGCAGGGAGCCATGGCCCCCGGGACCCTGACTTCCTGCCTGTGTCTGCCCCAGAACGAGAAGGAGAACACGAGCTACGACATCGACACGCTGCAGGACGAGGAGGGCGACCTGCTGGAGTTCCCAGGTAGGGCCGGGCACCTGGCATGTGCTGCAGGCTGGGGCCGAACTGCTGAAGGGACATGGGGAGGCTGAGGGCCCGGGCATCGGGGTGGACACAGCCCTACGCCTGAGTCGTGTGATGACACCCAGTAGTGAAGGGTCATAGGAAAAATCAAGGTAAAGCTACCTGGCGTGAGTTATGCTGGTTCATGAGTCTGTTTAACCCATAGTAGCTGTTTGTCCTGGGGTAAACCCCCTCCTGCCGTCTCCTGGTGAGGGGCTGCAGCAACCTGCAGCTCCCCCAGGGTAGCTCCTGGTCTGTCTGCCCTGGACCCCAGGACCATTTGCATTGGTGCACCCGCGACCTAGTCCCAGGAGTGGATGGGGCAGGGGAATGTCATCTCCAACCGGATTTCTGTGGTTGTCTCAGGGGCGGAGGTGCTGCTGTCCAAGAAGACGATGAGCCTGTCCACGGAGGAGCTGCTGGCCACACTGCAGGGCCAGGTGCAAACCCTCACACTGCAGAACAAGGAGCTGCAGGAGAAAATCCAGGTAACACGGCATTTCCCCACCTCTGCAGGGGTCTCTCTGAGGCCCTCCCTGCTCCGTCACAGCCAGCAGCAGCTCAGGGTGAATCCAGGTGGGGACCTGGGACCGTGGGGCTGCTCCGGGCTGGAGGCTTACACCTGCTTCCCTTCTCCAGTGAGGAACAAGGCCATGTGTGTTTGGATCCTGGCTTCCTCCCTCCTGGCTCTGGCTGGCACCTCAGCCTCAGCCTCCACACCAAGTCCTCCCCCTCTATCTCTGTGGTCTGCACACGATCCAGTTGCCACCACAGCCCCCACATGCCATGGCCTCCTTAGCCAACCCCCACGTGCCACGGCCCCTGCAGCCCTGCCTTTCCCCATGCCAGTGCCCACATGCCTTGTGAGCCTCTGCTGCATCTCTGCTAACACCCCATCCAACTCCCATTCCTGCATCTCCCGGGGTTCCCAGACATAGCTCAGAAATGCTTCCTCTGGGCATTTCTGCCTAGTGTTGAGCGGGTGCAAGGGGTGACTTGGGGGCACCTAGGGCAGATGTAGGGGGCGATGGGGAGGTCTCCAGCAGTGTTGAGCCCCACTGTTGGGGGGCTGAGGGACAGGTGGGGCCCAGACCCCGCAGCCAGCAGTCAGAGCCCAGGGAAGGCATCTCATGCTCTCCCCCTCTCCCCTGGGCAGATCCTGGAGAACTACGAGAGGGACGAGAGTGACCTGGACCCCTCGGGGGACTTCATCCCTGTCCTGTTGTATGACTCGCTGCGGGCTGAGTTTGAGCACCTGAAGGGGCAGCATGCTGATGCACAGGCTACGCTGCAGATGCTGGAAGATGGCAAGACCTCCGGGGCTGCTGGCCAGCCTGACATGGGGGCCGCCTTGGAGCAGTTGAAGGCCAAGTACGAGGCGAAGATCCGAACCCTGGAGGAGGCGCTGAGGAAGGCAGGGAAGGGCCAGGCTGGGGCTGAGGAGGAAGGGACTGGCAGGGAGCGAGGCGATGGCGACGAGGGCCTAAGGGCGGCAGCTGGGTCAGCGCTGGCCAAGGAGCTGGCCCAGACCCAGGAGAAATACGAGGCAGCCTTGGCCGAGGTGCAGCACCTGCGGGAGCAGATCCAGCTGGGCATCTTGTCAGTGGAGGACCAGGAGGGCGCTGAAGCCGCAGACAGCTCCCGCAGCGAGCTGGAGACTGTGCGGGTGGCACTGCACAAAGCCCATGAGGACCTGAGGGCCAAGGAGCGACGGGTCAAGGACCTGGAGGGGCGTTTGGAGAGCCGGGCAGGAGCTGCCAGCCCGACCCACTCCATGGGGGAGACCGAGGCCAACCTCAGCCAGTCACTGGAAGAGGCGGCCAAGGAGAAAGCAGCGCTGCTGGAGCGGTGCCGGCGGGCCGAGGCGGCCGCGGAGGAGCTGAGGAGGAACGTGGAGGAGAAGAGCCGCGACTTCCAGCGGGCGGTGGGCCCGGCAGATGGGCGATGGCTGGAGGAGGAAAACCAGGAGCTGCAGCAGCAGCTGGGCGAGCTGATGCGGCAGCATGGCGAGGTGAAGGCCCAGCTGGGGCAGCTGCGTGAGGCTCTGGCCCGCAAGGACCAGGAGCTCGGGGCTCTCAAGGAGCAGCTGGCCGCCAAGCCCGTGTCACTCCAGGAGCACGAGGACGTAGTGGACCAGCTAAGCACCTCGCTGGCCCGTGCCAACCATCAGCTGCAGGAGCTGCGAGAGGAGCACAGCACCAGTCAGCGCGCCCTGGTCCAGCTGCAGAGGGAGGCAGACGGTGCCCGTCGGGACTCAGTGCCCCGGGCCGAGCACATCCGCACCACGGCTGCACTGGAGGGCAGCTTGCAGGAGATCACGGGCAGGGCCCAGCAGCTGGAGCGGGAGCTGGCGGCCAAGGGCAAAGAGACGGCACAGCTGCGGGGGGAGCTGGCCAGTGCACGGGAGGGCACAGTGACACGGGCAGAGCACGAGCGGGTGCGCAGTGGCCTGCAAGCTGAGGTGACCGCTCTGAGCCAGAAGCTGAGCGAGCTGGGCCGCAAGCACGAGAAGACATGCGCCGAGGTCTTCCAGGTGCAGCGCGAGGCCCTGTTCATGAAGAGTGAGAAGCACGCGGCCGAGGCCCAGCTGGCCGCCGTGGAGAAGCAGCTGCAGAGCCTGCGGGCCGAGTCGCAGCGCGTCCAGGAGCTGCACCGCCACATCGAGGACTCAGCCCGCCTCGTCAAGGACAAGGACAGGAAGGTGGGGACAGGGTAGGGGGAGAGACGGGGATCTGGGCTACACTATGAAGGGTTGCGGGGCAGCCAGGTGTCTGGGGATCTGACCAGAGTGATGAAGGATTGAAGGGGAGATGGGGGTCGGGAATTGAGCCAGAGCCACAAAGGGTAGGAGGTGATGGTGGTCTAGGCTAGATCCATGAAGGGTGGGGGGTGGAGATGGGGTCTGGGGATCCAGCAAAAGCCAGGCAGGGCTTAGACATGTCCGAAGTCTCCACCTGCTTGGCAGGAGAGATCTGTGTCTGGCTGGTGACCAGCTTTGGGCCCTGGAGGCCAACAGAAGGGTGAGCTCTGGATCCAGATGTCCCAGTTACCGCCAGGAGTGGCAGCAATGGAAGCATTGGCTCCAGCATCCCATGGGCGGCAGGACAGGGATGGGGATGGGGACACTGGCATGCCTGTGCCTGGGGGGTCGGAGCGGTCCGAGGCAGGGCGCTGCTGTCCTGCACAGGCCAGACCTTGTGGCCCTGGGGCAGCCTGTGATGGCTGCATGGTGCTGCCAGCAGATCACAGAGCTGTCGAAGGAAGTCTTCAAGCTGAAGGAGGCGCTGAACGGGCTGTCAGAGCTGCCCACCAAAGCAGGAGCCCTGCCAAAGGCACAGCAGGGCCAGCTGGAGGCAGGGGTGCTGCAGGGCAGGATCAAGGCCCTGGAGGAGCAGCTGACGGTGAGTACTCAGGGGCACCTGGAGCCCAGGGGGTGGAGACCTCCATCCCACAGCTGTCACCTGTGGGCCCCAGGTGCCTGGCAGAGCCATGCGGGCTGCAGGCTGGACTCCTGGTTGAAACCCGCGTGCTGAGCTTAGGGCATTGGGATCCGCAGACAGTGCGGAGCGGACACGCTGCAACCCCTGCCAGCCTCAGCATCCCGGCAGGGGTAGCCCCCCATGGACAGCGCTGTGTCCGGCACAGGGGGAACCAGGCCCCAGAGCACGGGCTGGTCCAGCCGGCCCCGCAGTGCGACCCTGGGCTTCCTCTGCCTTGCAGGACATGGAGAGGCACCACAGCAAAGTGGTCTCACTGTATCGGGGGCACCTGCTCTACGCCGTTCAGGTCAGTGTGGGGGCGAGGGGGCTGAGGCAGTGGGCACAGGGGGTACGTGCATGATGGGGTGCAGGTGCAGGTGGATGGGCGGGCAGGGATCTGGCTGCCTGTCGGGCTGGCGACGAGGCCGGTTGGCACCTGTGGGAATTACATCTCTTGCCCTCTCCTTGCCCCTCTCCCCTGAGCTCCCTGGCACCGAAGGATGGGACCTTGGACACGCCATCCTCACGGGGGAGGGGGCCGGGCCCTTGTTCCCAGGAGCTGGCACCGCAGGCCGGAGGACCGGCGGAAGGCCCCCCTGCGGGGTGGATGGGCGCCGGCATGGCCCCGCCGGGCAGAAGGTCACTCACATGGAACGCCGGAGCTCCCGAGTCATGTGTGTGCGTGTGCGTGTGTGCACGCGTGCCCGCCAGCTTAGGCATGTGCAACGCCTGCCTCCTCTGTGTCTGTGGTCTGCCGCATGGCGAAGGGCAAGCCTGTCTGGGGCCGTGGCTGTGTGTGCTTCTGCAGGGAGACCTCCATCTGAACCCCCCCCACTCCCCAGGCCAGATCCAGGACCCCAGCCCTGACCCCCCCCAACCCCAAATGCCAGGGCAGGAGCCAGATTTGCCTCCCCGAGCCTGTGATAGCAGGTGTAGGGGCTGCCTGGGCTGGGGGCCGGAGCAATTCCCAGTCCAGGGCAGGGGGCCGGGCTCTGGCCAGCTCAGTGAGCACCTCTTCCTTCTGGGAAATGGCCATGTCTGGTGCCTGCCGCGATGGCTGCCTCTGAGACCAGCGATGTCCAGCCCTGACTCAGCTCCTGGGGCTGGCAGTGGGGCTGAGCCAAGACGGACATCTCCTGTGGCCCCCGGCTTGGGGGAGGCTGGTGTGACCCCCATCTCCTTACAGGGCCACATGGACGAAGATGTGCAGGGGCTCCTGGGCCAGATCCTGAAGATGCAGCGACTTCAGGAGCAGGGCAGATGAGCACCATGGGGTCAGCGATCCCAGCCCGGCTCTTGGACCCTGGGCAGGGACACCCCAAGCCAGACAATGGTGGATTCACACATGGGACTAGCCGGACGCTGGCGTAGGCCAGCCTGGTGCGTGGCTGGACCCCGTGGCTAGTCGGCCCTTAGTGCACGCCCCGTCACCAAGCCCCGGGCACATGTGGCACCTCTGCTTGCCCGTCCCTGGGCCTGTGCCGGCAGGAGCCCAGGCAGGGGTGGGTTAAGCTTTGCACCTCATAGCAGGGCCATGTCCAGCTCTCGCCGCCTTCTCCATCCATGCTCTTACCTCGAGGCCTCTAGAAAGGGCTGGGGGGCTGTTGGCTCCCAGCCGAGCTAAGACTCAGAGCCCCCCATGGGGGAAGGGGCCGTGTTTCTGGGGGCACGAGTGAGAGGCCACCCTCACGTCCCACACGCTCCCTGCCATGGCCACAGCAATAAATTATTTATATACCCTCGGCTGAGACTCACTTGCTGGCTGCTGCAGGTGCGTGGGGGTGGCACGGCCAGGAGGATAGGCTGAATTACCTGCTCCCACCCCCCTGACCTTCCCCCACCCAGCTCTGCCAGTCTGGAGCCCCTCTTGCTGGAGACTTGGGTCAGGGTGTGCTGTGGGGAGCGGGGTGGGTCATCAGAAGGGGCTGGGTGGGCTGGGCAGGGGCTGCTGAGGCATCAACAGAGCTGGGGGGAGCCCAGACCCAGGAGGGGGAGGGATGGGGGCAGCACAGAGGGGCTCTGCAGATCCTGGGTGCCAGGGTCCTAGGTGTAGTGCAGTGGGGAGGGGGCAGGAGGGGCAAGCTGGGGGCTTCTCCACACAGCCCAGCCTGCACGCCTCTGGCCTGCATGGCAGCTCGACCTGCCCAGCTGTGCCAGCTCTGCTTCTTGCTGCACCCCCTCACTCTACCTTGCACCCCCAAGCCCACCGCTGTGCACCCCAGCTCTGCAGGGGTCTCCGCCCTGGGCTCCAGCCACGTCCCCACTGCTGCTTCCCAGCCCCAGCTGCATCAACGCTGCAGCAGTCCTGGCTGATGGGGGGCCATGGAGACCTCTGTCGCCAGCTCCCCTTGTGCTCACTGCCCCGTGCCCAGAGGTGAATGTCCTTTCCCCTTAGCCAGCTGCTGGGGAAGGGCTGGGGCTGCAAGTAGCCAGGGGAAGCTGGGGAGCCTCTGGCCTGCTGCGACATGGTCGCCTGGGAGAGATTCACAGGGCAGGAGGGGGTTGCTGGTGCTCCTGGGTTCTCCCAGCGCTGGGGGGTCACATGGGAAGGAGTTTCTCTCTGAGGCCCAGGCGGGAGGTTTCTGAAGCTGTGAGTAATGGGGAAGGCTAGAAAAGCCCCCGTTGGCTGCAGGCTCCCACAATGACCCCAGCCGCTGTGCAGGATCAGGGCCAGCCCCCACCTGTTCAACCACGGCTCCAGCCTGCTTCAGCCCCAGGGGATGCCCCCCTTCCCCAGCCTGGGGGAGCCTCAGACTCACTGAGCCCACCTGACCGGCCTGCTGGGCTCCGCAGCCCCTCCCTGCACCATCCCAGCCCCCTGCGCCCACAGGCTGAGGTGCTGGAGCCATCCCCCAACACGGAAACCTCCCAGCGGGTGAATTTCCTGCGCTGGTGTGCGAGGAAGTGCGCGGCAGCAGCCCCAAGGTCAGCAGGATTGTGCTTCCCGAGCAGAGACACTGGCAGCTCCTCTGTCTGGACACCCAGCTCCATGAGCCCGGTAAGTCCCCGCTTCTACCTTCCTACGACTTCCAAGGCAGCAGCTGGGTTTGGGGGGCCTGCTTGTGGGGAGCATGGCATCGCCTGCAGGTGCTCCCTTTCACACCTACTGCCTGGGGACCCTGGTGCCAGGCTGGGGGGAGCCACTGTGTCGAGCAGGGACAGCAGGGGAGGCCTGTCTACACTAGGACTTAGGGCTGGGGTGGGACTGTGAGGAGGCTGCTGTGTCAGAGACCTGGATTCAAGTCCCAGACTCCCTCGGGTGGGTCTCCTCAGGGGCCCCTGGGTTTCAGCCTGCTACCTGTATGAGGATGATGATCCCCTCCTGTGTCATGGATGGGGCCCAGGTAAGCATGAGCAGCTCACAGGGCTGGGGACTGGCCACAGACCCATAGCCCTGCTGCCCTGGTGCTGCCCTTGCCCCATTCATCCATGCCCAGCCCCAGTTCTTCTGAAGCACAGACCACAAAGCCCTTGAAGGAGGTTCCCCATTACCCTGATGGGAAATCTGAGGCATGGGGATGGGGGTCTTGCCCAGGGCCACCCAGCAAAGCGGTGGCAGAGGAAGCACCCCAAACCTGGCCGGTCTGTGCCTGTTCTTTCCATTGCACCACACTCCCCCTGCACCCCTCCAGGCCTGGTTTCTCCCTGCCCCACTGAACTCCCGGGCAGACAGCGCCACCCGCCCCATCCCATGAGCTGGCACCTGCCCCATGGGTGATGATCCTGGCACTTTGGGGAAAGCCCCAGGCCTGGGCTGCAGCTGCCAGGCAGGGCAGTGTCCCCTCCAAATGCCCCCACCACTCCCCTTCCCTCCCCCAGCCTGGGAAACTCCCCTGAACTCATGACACTGCTGTTTCCCTATTCCCAGCATCACCCCTGTTAACCCCTCAGGGGATGCCCCAGCTGAATGCTAGTGCAGACAGAGCGCTGGGGCCTCAGCCAGGGATGGGGTTAAATCCCCCTCTGGCCCATGCCAGGTGGGGCTGGGGCAGGTAGTGCCCTTGGAAGCCCCTGGGGTGGCACTGGATGTCACTGCCCATGTTGGCCTGACCCAGCTCTATGTCTCCTCCACTGGGAGTCACTGGGGACCCTTGGGGGACACTAACCCCAGCCAGCCCCAACCCCCACAGCCAGCTCTGCATGGCTCAGGGAGGCAACTTGGGGCTGGCACTGCCCTAGCAGCTTCCTCTGGACATCTAGCGCATGCCAGGGCAGCTGTGCTGGGACCGTGGCCCGTCGTCCCCTGGGAAGGACCCTTCTCCCAAGAGCTGGCTTTTCCCAACCCCTCTGACATCGCTGGGGCCAAGCTGCTGCCCCTGGCTGCTCTTTCTTCAGGCTCCATTTGGGACATCAAGGATGAGGTGGACGGTGCAGGTCGTCCTGGTCCTGCTGACCTGTCCGGTCTCCTGCATTGCTGATAGCACCACGGAGGAAGGTAGGAGAGGCAGCACAGACACACGTGCCCAGGACCTTCCTGGCAGAAGGCACACAAGTGCCCCATTGCGCCCTGGGGCCTGTCTCCACCAGGGTCTGGGTGCAGGGAATGGGGGCTCCTGTAGGGGCTGGGGCCTAGCCAGCAGATAGCAGCCTGTGACATGAGGGCTGGGGCAGCAGCAGGAGAAGGCTGAGGACAGAGCTGGGTTGTCAGGAGTGTAGCCAGCTCTCGGTTAGGAGGGCCAAGGAACCCAGGAGTCCTGAGTGCTGCACTGCTGTGCCCTGCTGCCTCTGGGGGCAAGGCACTAGGGTGAGGTGCACAAAGCCTCCAAGGCCTTTGACCCGGTGGAGAAAGGCAGAGGCAGCAGTGGCAGCCGGGACCTAGCAGGCATGGCGTAGTTAAGGAGGGTTGACCGCTGCACTGGGGCAAAAGGCAGAGCAGGTTTGCACCTTTCTAGACTGGTTGCATCAGAGCTGGGCAGCATGAGCTTCCTTGAGCAGGGAGCCAGACCTGCAAAGGGACTGCAGGGAGCAGAGCTGCCCAAGGGAAAGCTGTGACCAGAATCCAAAGGGTGGGGAAAGGGGGAAAAAAGAGGGGCGCTGCCAGGAGATAGAGAGGGAAACACAAAGCCATTAACCCCTCCAGGGACCCAGGGCTTATGGAAGCTAATCCAGGTAATGGGATAAGAACCAGTAGTTTCGGATTAGACCACCTGATCCGGTCCGGGGGCATCTATCTTGTTCCACAATTTCCCGTTCCAGTTCACATTTCAAGCGTCGTGGTCCAAGAAGAGCGATTAGCCAGTGAGGGTGGGTGGGGAGCCACAATCCAGTTCAGTCGGCAGTGACAGCCCTGTCTCCGCCCCAGACCCCTGGCCCCTGCAGCACAGCGCGCTGGGCTCCGACGTGCTGCTGCGCTGTGCCGTGCCCGCTGAGGCCGCGGGCGTGGAGTGGCGAGTGAATGGCACAAGCGTGGCCACCGCCCTAGATGTGCTGATGGCCACCGAGGATGGGCTGGTGTTGCCCAATGCCAGCCTGGCGCAGGAGGGCGACTACAGCTGCCACCACCCTGCCAGTGGTGAGGCCCTGCGGAGGATCCGGCTGCGCCTGGGCTGTGAGTGAGACCTGGGGTTCCCTCCCATTGGGGGGGGGGGGGGGGGGAGCCCTTCCCCCGCGCTC